TCCTGATAGTTTTTCTGGAGATCTATAAAGTGTACTTTTCAGTACCTTGGCTATGTTTTCACTTTCTGTTCTATTTAGTTTCTCTGTTGTTAGGACTTTCTGGGACATGATTCTGTTCTTTCTGTGGTCACTCCATCCTCGGGTCTTTTCTTAAATCTGTTCCCAATTGGACATGTCTTTGATCAATGCATCCACAACTCCTCTCACTACCAAAAATCTCCTCTTCAGGTCCCCATTAACTCACCTAGTTACTTTAGCTGTGGATAGTCTCAGCCAGGACTCTTATCTCTTTCTGTATGTATACCCTCCTTTTCTCCTTCTCCCACTGTTTTGGCTTTGATTTGTGGCACTCCTTGTTTGGTCCTGTTGGTAGCCCCCTTTCAACCAGCTCATTCTTGGTCTTTTCTTCTCTAATAAGCCCCCACTTTAGGGTGTTACACCCCATGGCCTTTCCTTTTCAGTTGCCTTCTCTGAAGGGAGCTCATCTATATTTGCACAATTGCACCAGTCCCTCCATCATATTAATGTGGGATTCTAGCTACTGTGTACAGAGAGTTAAGCGTATTGTTTCTGAAGTTAACATTTTCCTTACCTAAGTATATATTTCCAATAGATACTTACCTCTCTTCACATCTTCCCACCCTTTCTTTCCACTACTGTTGTATATTATTCTTGTCTTGTGTAAGTTAATTTCAAGCTCTAGTGCAAATGTGGAACCTACTGTACATGAGGATATGTTACCCTTGTATTGGTGGAGAGCTTTTGTCATATGATTATATCAAGTACTAGTGCAGTTCACATTAAAATATGTATCTTAGGTAGAAGAGAGCTCAAGGCTAGTGACGTGCACAAAATATCTCAAAGGCAGATGCATGAGAAATAGTTACTGTATGCAAATAGGTAAGTATCTATTGGAAATACATTTTCAGGTAAGAAAAATGTTAATTTGGGCATCCTTCTTAGGAATGGTTGTATTTTGTTTTCAGTTATAGCCTTGTTAGAGCCACTGGTGTATCTACACCAGGATGATTGTCAGCAAAGGTTAGCACATGGCATATAGTTGGACGTTTAGGTGGGATAGATCCATGGTGTTGATGTTGAAGAGAAGTTAGTGATTCTTGAGAGAGAGGGACCAGAATTTTTGGTGATCCAGTCTAATTGCCTGTAGATATCAGATATCCATGCTTCGTGATGCATCTTCTGGTAGTTAGTGCAGCTATGACCCATCTCACACATATCACATTGATGCCTCTTCTGAGGATTTTGTCAACAATAATAGGTAACTGGACTTTATTGTAGGCATGTTCCAGATATAAAGCTACTGCTAAGGTGTTCTGATCAACTTCAAAACCTTCCCACATATGAACTGTAAAATAAGCAGCTTTGATTCATATTTCTATTCCAGTGAGATACCCACATAATTATGATAGATGTAATGGTTCAGTCAGATAGGCTAGCCTTCTAGCTACAGCCTTCTCTTGTATCTTTCCAAAGATGTTTTGTAGGACAGTAATTCAATAGCCTTTAAATAAGAGTGATCATTCAAGGGTTTGGGTAAGGACTCTATAAAGGCATTAGGTCACATCTTTTGGATGCTACCTGTTGACCAGCAACATTGCTACTCTGACAAGAACATCTACAGATTGGCTTCTGTAATCTTCTTAAAGGTGAATATTGTTCCAACAAATGGACCTGCATGTATTTATGGCTCTGTGTATCTCATCAGATAAGGAATGTTGTAGCTTGAACTTCTTGCTTGTCACCATAGTCACATTGATTAATGTATCTGAACATGAAGGCATTGTCTTGCTATTTATCCATACAAAGTTGGGTGCTGTTATCATGGAAAACGACTGACATTGCCATGTTTTTTGTTCCTTGGTCAGCCATAAACTTGTGGAAGTGCCAGAATGAAATTCTTGTGGAATTAGCTCTGCTGCACTCATTCCATTTTTTGTCTCATGCTCCCAAATGATTATTGCCTGTAGAGAACATAGGCTCTATTCCATGTAGTCCTGGCTCCTTTGCTTAGGCTGGGTCATGCTTTATCCACATGAACTCAGCTTTGGCTTGAGTACACGTTTTACAGGCTTTATCAGTATCACTGTTCCAACTGTATGGGTGTGTTCCTTTTGCAGGAGTTGTTGCTGTGACTTTGCTCTATGGTAGAGAGGTGCTTGAGGGTACAAGCAGTGCCAGATTGCTTAATATTATTGTATGAGTTTCTAGCTTGTTTTATACCACAACATCATCCAGTCTTCATGTGCATATCACTGCTGATATTATGTTCACTATGCCTGGCAGCAATGATGCTAAAGGTGAGGTTAGCAAAAGCAAAGTCTATACAGGAATCTGCCACCTTGGTGCTGAGAGATGTCTTGCTGTGTTACCCAAGTTTAGCAATATAGGGTGAGCAACTATAATGTGGACATCAGAATGTAAACCCTTGTAATTAGTGTTTTCACTTGTTTCCCGGGTTGGTTGTCTGACTTTGAAGTCTCCTACTGTTGACAACTTCCTACTAGATAGCCACTGAATGAATAAAAGTCAGCCAGTCACAGTATGCTGTTATTAATAGACTAATACTATCTCAAAGTTTTGTTAGCAGAATGTGGAACTGTCTTCGAACCAATGGCTCAGTACCTGGATAAGATAGACAGTCATCACATTACTAACAGATGACTGCTATCTGTTACCTCTGACTCACTGCAATTGTAGGCACTGATTCCAAGATTGAATCAGATATTTGTAGCCACAAAAATCTGCTATGCTAGCATAGAAATGGTGCTTCACAAGACTGGCTTTGTAAGCCATATACCCAATGAAGTATATTCCACTTACAAAGGCAGAAAGCAGCCTGCTTGCAATGGCGCTAAAACTACATTCAGTGAACTAATGATGTGGAAGAATACTTCACCCTCAACCTTGATAACAGGTACACTCATCTGAAGAGGGTGTGGGATTAGATTCTTTACCATTTTCATGCTGGTAAAGGCAGGAATTAACATGCTGTTGAATGATACCATTAATATTACACATTATAGGAACTTCTGTGTTTCCTTTATTACTATGACCAATGTATAGTTCATGTTCTGCCATGTGCAGATACTTCTGTCTTTCTTTTATTACTATGACTACTCTATAGTTCATGTTCTGCCATGTGCAGATACTTCTGTGTTTCTTTTATTACTATAACAACTGTATAGTTCATGTTCTGCCATGTGCAGATCCTTCTGTGTTTCTTTCATTACAATGACTACTGTATTGTTCATGTTCTGCCATGTGCAGATACTTCTGTGTTTCTTTCATTACAATGACTACTGCATAGTTCATGTTCTCCCATGTGCAGATACTTCTGTGTTTCTTTCATTACTGTGACTACTGCATAGTTCATGTTCTGCCATGTGCAGATACTTCTGTGTTTCTTTCATTACAATGACTACTGTATAGTTCATGTTCTCCCATGTGCAGATACTTCTGTATAGTTCATGTTCTCCCATGTGCAGATACTTCTGTATAGTTCATGTTCTGCCATGTGTAGATACATCTGTGTTTCTTTCATTACTATGGCTACTGTATAGTTCATGTTCTGTCATGTGTAGATACATCTGTGTTTCTTTCATTACTGTGACTACTGTATAGTTCATGTTCTGCCATGTGCGGATACTTCTGTGTTTCTTTCATTACTATGGCTACTGTATAGTTCATGTTCTGCCATGTGTAGATACTTCTGTGTTTCTTTTATTACTATGACAACTGTATAGTTCATGTTCTGCCATGTGCAGATGCAACTGATCCTCACTGTAGCCTAACTGATGGTAATGTTCCTCTACCATGTAATACTAGTTGACAGATTATTTAAAGAAAACTTGATTGACTAAATGGAGTGGACTATGTTCTCATTAGACTACAATTCTATTGAGCATGTAGAGAATGATCTTAGAATGAACATTACATTTCATCAAGTGACCTTTTTTAGACCCGTGTTTTTTAGTTTATTTTGAACATGCAACATTGTTACTAGGTTACTGTTTGTGTTGATCATACTCTCTATTAAAGTGAACGTTAAAGGTGTAAATCCACTTCTACAAAATGTTTATTTTTAAACATAGAATGGGCAACTAAGCATAATCAATTCAGTTCATCTGATGAATGAGTGATGGAGTATGGTGATTTAAATTTTGTAATGGGGGTTTGCTTGTCGTGACTAAAATATTACAAATTCGAGTTATCTTTATATTGTGTTTTGTTGCTTACTTAGTGATTTAAAGCCAACAAGCAACTAGATAGAGGAGATGTAGACTAGTAATGACAATATACATATTTATGTATTTATTATTCTTATACCCCTGGTAGTTTCTGCATGCTTTTTTTTTCTCCAAAAAAAAATTAGTTTTCTGTTTTTTTATATTACTGGTTCTGAGATAATATGTTTTATCATACAGTTTTAATTAAGACACTCAAAAAATATTTTTATGTCATACCATTTCTTCATTTGTTTGTTGAGTCCTTTCAGTTAATAAATGTTGCATTGTTTAAAGCCTTTTTCTTTACATATTACTATTATAGGGAGTGTTAGTGTTTTGTACACTGAACCTTTATTGCAATTTATGCTTCTACAGTTTCTTTCAGTTTTAAGTATTTGGCATCATTGAATCATAGCATGAACTTAAATGTTTTGGGAAAAATAAAATTATATATGATTGTAATATGTTATGTAATTCTAGACTTTGACTTAAATTATCTTGGTATTTTTTGTTATTAAGTGGTTTTAAATTTTTATATTTACCACAAATTTCTACTGACAGGAATGAAGCTTATCCCAAGGAATTAGATATTAAACTGAAATTTTGTCCATTTACCCAAGATATTAATTTTAAGATATCACACCGAGACACCTTGAATGCTACAACTACAAAATAAGTATTATAATTTGTAAGACATTTGTATTGAAAAAATATTCCTCCAAAGGATGTGATTGTTTATGTTGTTCTTAACAGGTAAATCAGAAACCATACAACTTAGTCAAAGTTTCTATGATAACAAGAGAAGATCATCTTTTGTTGCTGAGGAGCAGATGGGGAGAATTTGGGAAGTACATCAGGTAAAGTACACTTCACTATTCATAAAACAACAAAAAGTTCTTATAATTAACAGTCTACATTCAACTTTTATTTTAAGAACATTTACTCCATGTATGGCGTGATTGTTTTCAGCGTAGGTTTCAAATGGTCGTCAAGAAGTGTCAGTTTAATTTTGAGATGTCACTCATTCACAATTCATCTTATCAAGAGTTTTAGCCTGGTTTCAGAAACATGTTTAAAGTCAAACAGCTGGATAATTGAATTAGGCTCAGTGTAAGTTTTACTTGATATTTGACAATGGTTCACATGGTGCCACCTATGTAATCTCAAACTCTTGTAAGACAGAAAATATACTTGAAAAACTTTTGTACTTAAATATTTTTTACAATAGTTATGTTGTGCAAAGCAATACTTAGATCAAGCTTAGGATAAGGTTATTTAATTATACCCTACAGGTTATAGTAGTAATACTTATTGCAAGGTATATCCATGTCATTCAGAGATACTTCGTGTGTCCATGTGGGAAAGTATGATTTATTGCTGGATATACACAAATAACACAGGCCTGCTAATAAGCTACAGGAATGAGGTGTTACTTGATATAGAGTATGAAATTATTTAGTTTTTGTGTATTGATTTAACAAATTGTTACTTTTTAACAGTATGTACATGAAAAGAAGCACTTTGAAACATTTGAAAGTTGCTTAACTTGTTTAGAGTATTAACTTGAGGCATTACATACCCTCTGCATCATTAGAATACAGTGTTACTTCTTGTAGGTTATTAACATGATAAATTATACTGTTTGTACATTATTAGTATATAGTGTTATTTGTTCTAGATGTTAAAATAAGGCATTATATTCTCTGTTTATCATTAGAATACAGTGTTACTTCTTGTAGGTTATTAACATGATACATTATACTGTTTGTACATTATTAGTATATAGTGTTATTTGTTCTAGATGTTAAAATAAGGCAGTATATTCTCTGTGCATCATTTGAATACAGTGTTACTTCTTGTAGGTTATTAGCATGATACATTATACTGTTTGTACATTATTAGTATACAGTGTTATTTGTTCTAGATGTTACCATAAGGCATTATATTCTCTGTTTATCATTAGAATACACTGTTACTTCTTGTAGGTTATTAACGTGATACATTATACTGTTTGTACATTATTAGTATATAGTGTTATTTGTTCTAGATGTTAAAATAAGGCAGTATATTCTCTGTGCATCATTTGAATGCAGTTTTAGTTGTTGTGGATGTTAATGTGAGGTAGTTGTACTTTATCCTACTGAAACAGTATTTCTGTTGTAAATTCAGCTAAGGTACTTTATCCTACTAAAACAGTATTTCTGTTGTAAATTCAGCTAAGGTACTTTATCCTACTGAAACAGTATTTCTGTTGTAAAGTGTTCGGCTAAGATACTTTATCCTACTAAAACAGTCTTATTTGTTAGAGAATTACGTTTTGCTTGTTCTGTTTGCTTATATGACACATTTCTACATTTTTAGTCGAAAATGCCTTCTGTCTGTTTTTATGAGATAAATTTATTTGGTCCAGGGTATTGATCAATATCAAAGTAACTTCATGTGTGTGTATGCAGAAACATTACTTCTTGATGTTAGAGTGAGCTTAGTTCAGCCAAGTGGTTAGCATGCCAGTCTGTGGAGCCGATGTTCTGTGGCTTGCATCCCGTTACCACAAAAGAAAATAATAAAAATATTGCTCTCTGCCTTTTGGGGATATGAGGACAATATAAGTGTTGGTCAAATCCAATTATTTAGTCTGACAAGCATAGCTTAAGAGCTGTTGGTGAGTGGTGTTGACTAGCTGCCTTTCCTCTCGTCTATCACTTCAAAATTAAGGATGGTTATGTGCATATAGACCTTGTGTAGCTTTGTGCAAAATCCAGCAAAGAAACAAACATGATGTTAGATATCCAATACATAAATTTGCTTTCTGTATGATGAAACTAGGCATATTTTCTTGTTGCTGAGTCAGATTCACTTCCCATCTATCAGTGCCAAGCAGAATGTTTTGTTGTTAGATATTTACTTCATATATATATATATATATATATATTAATAGCCAAGAACTTGTTTTTATTAGATACTCACAATTTGTTGGTTAAATTATTTTGAATAATTGTCAAAGAGAAATAGGAATAGTGAAAGCTTAAGGAAGAATTTTAGGAGCCTTAACTAAAGGAAATATCTGATTTTGGGGGAAAATAATTGTCCCTGTCCACAAGTCAGATCTACATTCTGAATAAAAATTGTGAAGAAGAGTTTTTAGTTTTATATTTACTTGAAGAAGTCACTGATTCTTGTTAATATATTTATTTTTGAAGAAAATGGGTTATTATAATGTCTTATTTATTATAAGTATGTAAGGAGAAATGAAACTGTTATTTGTATGCCGCCTTTTAATTCATTACAAAGGTTTGAAAGTGCATTTCTTTTTTCTGTTTTTAGAGTGTAAGAGAATCCACTAACAATATAAATCTGGACAAACCATTAATAAAAACAGCTAAGGTACCTGATGTTTCTTCTAAGGAGAAGTTTTCCAGTGAGAGGATAAGAGAAGCAGGTATTATACAATGATTTCACTTTGTAAGGTATTGGATGACCCAAGTTGAGGCCATAAGAGATAAAGAAAAAATTAGATGTATATGTGTATAATGGATTTTTAATGACAGAAGGAATTCATTTGGAATATGTATCAAATTTTTCACAAGTTATGATTAAAATGATTTTTTTATTTTTTAAATCGTTTTCTTATTACAGCTTTTAATTGTGCTTCTTATTGATGCAGATTAGTTAGTCTCAAAATATATTTTTCCAATAAAATAATATATTATTAAATTATGCCATGCATGCAGTGTAAACACATGATCACATACTTTCAGAAACTTCTTAGTATTAAGACTTTATATACAAATGGCTGAAACCTTTTCAGAAAGAAATAAAGTTTTAGAGATAGGGAAAAAAACAATTACAACTTATTTGATGAGTTGTAGTTGTGAAATTTTAATTTAAATCAAAAGATTAAAATTATTACACTACTATTTCTAATCATTACTTTAATGCAGTTGTAACCAGTTTTATCCAACTTACAGAAGAAACAATAATTTATTTATATAAAATTTGAGGTTGTTTTGTTTCAAATTGTATTTTCCTGATGCAACTCATGTAATTTAATTTTATGAGCAAATTTATTTCCTTCAAATATTTATTGTTTGGTTATAGTCGTCTTGTACTAATTTATGTATAATTTGGCTGTAGTTAGTTGCTTTGCAGTCTGTTATACTGTTGTGGTGTTGTATGAGTTTTGGGAATACTGTGCAACAGCATCTTTCATAATCAGTACTGTTGCACTGTATTCAACCAGTGAAATTCACTGTATTTTAAATGATAATATTTCAAGCTCAATATTTTCTTTATGCTATTTAAACATTGATCCTTGTGTTAAGGTTCAAAGTTGTTTTTCTGTAGAGTATAAAGATCAAAACGATTTTGTTAGGTCTGTGATCATATGTGTCTTTTGCTCAGTATAATCAAACTACAATGCACTGTTTTTTGTTTATTAATGAAATTAGTAAATGTATTTAATTATTTTAACTAAATTAAAAAGCAAACAAAAACCGACAGAAAAATATTCTTTATATGTTGTAAAGTGCTTATTCCTACACTTGAACACTCTCATGGTCAAATTCAAACTTGGATTTTTGTAAAAATAAAACAAAAATGGCAGCACAAACATTTCTAAATGCACAGTAATTTTATTTTATAAGCTTAAAAAAATAAGCATGTTCTACATGATTTGGTGGATAAGAGACAAAGGTCAAATTATGTTTGTTTATGTACTCAAGTAAATGGACATATACAATTAGCATATTGTACAGTTATGCCATTTACAAAATCAAATTCCAGAAATTCACTTCTATGGCACCTGGACCTAAACCTCTATTCAAACTCATCAATTTGTGTTTAACAATTGCTAAAGATTCTTTTCAGTCTAATTTATTGGATTTTTGTACTTTGATATAACACTCTTAGTAATAAAAACCAACTCCCCAGGATGTTACAGTTCTGTTACACAGCAATACAACATTCAGGGGTTAAGAATTTATCTATTCTGTACAACAAAATTAAATAATAATATGATTTTTGAATACTATAGCTATGACAAGGCAGAACTATGTTGTAAAAGCAAATTTCATGCAACACTTACATTTCATGTTATGTAATTCAGGCATAATGTTAGTCACTCATATGATCTAAAATAAAAATGATTACTCATTAATTCTATATTTTGTACAGTAGTCTCACGTGATCTTTCGTATTTCACTTAAAACCAAGTCGCAGTTCAAAGTACTCCAAATTATTTATGAAACTGTGGCTAGCCTTTAACAAAAGCATTTGAATGTTTCATATGGAGAGCTAGTAAACAATGGAAGCTGATAAGTTATCATTAATTCGTGATCAAAGCAAGCTACATACATAGAACTAAAAATTAATCCATTAATGAATATAGTTATTTTAATATACTATCCCCACTTATCTGATGATTAGAATGCATTAATTTATCTGTTGCAAAATAATTCTAATATATATATAGTAACTCTCACAGTTTTGTTGTACCCATTTACGTCATTGTAATATAATGTTGTTAAAAATTATGGAACAATATCCAACATAAGTTGTTTAAGTCCGTTTAATGTTGTTTTTGGTGGTGTGTGCCACAAACGAAAAATTTAACTCTTGCATTTAGGCCTATGCTACATCATGACAACTAGTAGGTGCACTGCACAGGTATCTTTCCACTCCTGGAAGTTAGATCAAAGCCAGCCTATCTGCACTTCTCTCGGCCTCAGTCAAACATTGTCTGCCTTATCAGCCAGTATCAAATGATATTTCCTGTGATTATTTTTGCACCAAACTTTCCAAAAACCCTTAAACATGAGTGTTCTGTGTTGATTGATTTATTTTCTATGTCTTTATATTGGGTTAATTTAAGTCTGGGTGTCTGGGAATCCATTCTCCCTTTATAACACGAAGTCAGTGAGGAAAATAATGGCCGATTTACGTTGATTCACCTAATGCTGTATTTTCTAGGAACATATTCTCGACACAAATGGGATAGTTAATGTATATGTATATATAAACCAAAACTGAGATGTTGGTTATGAGTTTTTAAAGTAAAAAATAAAAACTTTTCCATTGCCAGTCCTTGTCATTATTCATTAACTCATAAAAACTTGTCCATTGCCAGTCCTTGTCATTATTCATTAACTCATAAAAACTTGTCCATTGCCAGTCCTTGTCATTATTCATTAACTCGTAAAAACTTGT